GGCATCCACAGTGCCATAGGCGTGGATTTTTTAAAGAACATTTTTTCAAGCATCCACAGAGCCATAGGCGTGGATATTTTATTTAAAGAACATTTTTTCAAGCATCCACAGAGCCATAGGCGTGGATATTTTATTTAAAGAACATTTTTTCAAACATCCACAGAGCCATAGGCGTGGATATTTTATTTAAAGAATATTTTTTGTACCAAAAAACAGAGCCATAGGAGTAGATTTAAAAAAAAATAATCTGTAGCAAAAACATCCACATTTTTTTAAGCATCCACAGAGCATAGGCTTAGATTTAAAAAAAAATATTTTTGAAGGATCCACAGAGCCATTGGCATGCTTTTTTAAGAAATATTTTTTTTGGATTCGCAGAGCCATAGGCATGGTTTTTTAAGAAATATTTTTTGAAGGATCCAAAGAGCCATTGGCAGGCCTTTTTAAGAAATATTTTTTGAAGGATGCACAGAACCATATGCATGGTTTTTTAAAGAAATATTTTTTGAAGGATCCACAGAGCCATAGGCGTTGATTTTGCAAAAGGAATCGAGATAGACCCATGGTTCTTTTTGAGAATATGCATAGAATCACTTTCTGAGTCGATTTATGCATGACCGTCCGTCCGTCTGTTGATGTTAAATTGTAAACAAAGTACAGGTCGCATTTACAATCCGATTTGGATGAAGTTTGGCACAAGTCACTTATTTGGCTTAAGGACGAACCCTATTGAAATTGGTTCAAATTTTGATATAGCTCCCATATATATTTTCATCCGATTTCTTTCGATTTTTGTATGGCGTACAGAATCAAGTCTAGTCAAAGATTTATAGCTAGGCCGATTGACGCAACGTACTGAAGTTAATATATATTTATCTCTGCAAGTTTCCTTGAAATCGATTCGGATATAGATATAGCATAGCTTCCATATATAATTTCGACTTATTCATGTTAATTGTACACCAAATAATCAATGGGTGTCTGATTGAGATTCACTTTTAAACAGTGCAGCCTACCGAATAGCGTGTGTCAAGTTTGCTTTAAATCGATTTACAAAATGCGTGCAAATCTAATGATTTTCAGAGACGTTGGTGCACTATTTAACTAAAATCGGGCGAAACAATATATAGGAGCTATATCTTAAAACTTACTTAAAATTGGAAGAAACTATATACGGGAGTTATCTAAATCTGAATCTATTTTCACAAAACTTAGCACACAACATTCTAGACTTAATTTTATACGCTATGCCAAAATTCGTGCAAATCTAATGAACCATGGCTCTCAAAAGGAACCATGTGTCTATATCGATTCCTTTTGCCTGTTACAAACATATGCATAATGAAATAAAACCTTGTACCACAGTGTATTGAGGGGTATACAAATTAATAAGAAAACATTGTTCAGTTGTTTGAGTGGCCATTAAACTTAATGCGTCTGTACAACTTTATAATAATCTTAAGTTATTATATAATTATATAAGAATGGGATCAAGTACTTCGAAGGGGGGTTTGTACGAGTAATCAAACTGAAGTATTTTTATCAATGTTAATTACTTCGATAAGAACTGGTGGCGTTTGAATTTTAATTTGTATGCAATTTGGGAAATCATGCAGTTAATATGAACAGGTATATACGAATGAATGCAAAAATTCCAATATTTTGATACAATTTTCTAGTTTTCCCCACACGATTTTGGTTTCATGTTTTTTTTTTTCGAATTAATACCAAACTTAACAGGATTGGTGTCACTTTATTACGAGAAAAATCCCAGTTTCGCTTCCAAAAATTTAATCACACAACATGCCTTACTATTCAAGAAACTTTTACATACAAAACACACATACATATATAATTGCAAAAACTCCCCACGTATACTCTCTCGTTTTCGCATTATCTCCCCAATAACATAGCGTTATTAGCCATAATAATTTGATTTCAATTGACAAAATTTGTAAAGGCCCTAATAAACCAGTTCTCTGTTAACTGTCGTTGACGAAACATTTGTCATTCAAACGAATCGGTCGGTGGTCGGTCAACTGAAAAGAGAAACACTAAATTATATGCAGGTGAAAATTACCTGTAAGCGTTATAAAAAAATAATGATTATTATTTTTTAATCTTAAAATGGTGATTAAAAATATAAAATTATTAACGAGAGCGATAATTAGGTCATGTGAAAAATATTTAATCAAGTGTATACAAAAAATAAAATGATTATTTTCAAGGAATTTGGTGCAAACAATGGTGAAATGATCCTACCTGAAAACGTGATTATTAAGACATTTTTTTGTTCCAAAATTTCCTATTTCCATGATATTTGAAAATATTAGGATTAAAAGTTTTCGAAATCCTTTATAAGTATATGGTGTCTTTGGCAATAATACTGATATAAATGTGAGGAATATTTTTGTCTCACACGTTAACCCTCAGTTGAGTCTCTGAAAGGGCATTTTCTGTAGTTTAGCTAGCCAGAATATTCTACCAAAATTTTTGCCATAAAGTTTTACTATAAGTCCAAAATAATAATAGTAACTAATAATAGACCAAAACTCCAAAATCAGCCTAAACGTCAAAAATAAAAAAATAAAAATAAAAACTCATTTTAGGTTTAAAAACAATCTTGTTTCGAGTTCTTACCAATTTTCCCCACTAGATGTCGTTTTAGAAGGATGGTATAAAGGACAAAAATATTATCCATCAAATTTTAATATAAGTCAGTGAACAAGAGAAATCAGTATATATAATATTAGGTTGGGGGAAAAAGAAATCCATTTTTGGTATAAATGGTTTGAAACAGTTTTATGGTAGATTTTTAGCTCCTGGGCGATGTTACGACTGCTAACATGCCGGTCAACTGCGATCATTTCTCCGCTTTTATCGACATTTTCGACGACCGACCAACCTATGTGAGGTGCATCTTTTACATAAAAAATTCCTAAACGGAATCTACGAAACCAAAATTGCACATAATTGACTGTTACAGTATCATAAACACCATTCATAATTTTAGCCGTTTGGCTCTGGGGACTACTCCAACATACGGAACAAATCAGATAACTATTTTAATATAAAACAGTAAGTAAAGTCAGACTGGGCCGACTATATGATACTTTGGGTATATTCTACATATGTATCTAAACAGACGTCGCCTTTTCAATGGAGCATTAATGTGAAATTGAACGCACATAAGAATGTGATCTTTATCTATATGTAAACCGACTGACATCAATCCCTACACATGTCATTCTGCAAGCTATGCTAAATTTTGTAAATCGATTTAAAGCAAACTTGACACACGCCATTTTGTATGCTGCACTCATGCAATCTCAATCAGACACCAATTGATTATTTGGCGTACAATCAACATGAATAGGTCGAATTTTTCGAATCGAATCGGGCAAATTTCATCTAAATCGGATTATAAATGCGACCTGTACTTTGTTTACAATTTAACATCAACAGATGGACGGACATGCATAAATGGAATCAAAAAGTGATTCTATGCATATTCTCAAAAGGAACCATGCTTCTATCTCGATTCATTTTGCCTGTAACAAACATATGCACAAAAACATAATACCCTATACCACAGTGTGTTGAAGGGTATAACAAGGGGTTATATGGGGACTCCCCTTTAAAGGGGGAATTGGCGAATATTAAAATTTTTTTAGTAGGGAGATTTGTTACCATATACAGCGAATTCAAATTACAGCGAATTCAGTTGGAAAACGCGCCCAGGAACCCCAAAATACCGAAAATTGTGGGGCACCAATATATGAGGGAAACCCGAAAAAATTGACCTATATTTATAATTTTTGTGGCGAGATTTCCTTGATTTGCAATAAGAACTAAAAGTACTAAACTCAGTCGAAAAATACTCCCAAAACCTAAAACGACTACCAGAAAAGGTGGCCTATACTTATAATTTTTAGAGAGGAAATTTGGTACCCAATAAAACCCAATGTACCAAATTTCAATTCAGATGAAAAAAAATTCAGATGAAAAGCTCCCTCAAGAACCCCAAAAACCGGGAGCTATTCCTAAACGTGGACCGATATTGCTCATCTTGACCTGCATGCATACTCTATTGAAAATTTTGGCGATCTATCACAATTCGTTTAGGGGCTAGAGTGATTAAAACAGACAGACGGACAGAATTTTGTAGAATTTTGCGCTGATCAAGAATATATATTTGTAACTCATCGAAATAATCATTTCCGACCCTATAAATGATTATTGAGATGAGTTACAAACGGAAAAAAATTAATATACCGTCCATACTATGGTGGAGGGTATCAAACAACCAAAGGAATTGATAGAGATCTTTGGCAATCTGAAACTATAGTCTACTCTGTCGTATTTCTCAATGAAATTTTTAAATAATTTCTTCATAAAGTACAAAGTTTACATATCGCAATGTACTAATTTCAAATCTGAAGACTATAAAATAATTTGCGATAAATACAAATCTATAAAAAAAAATTTGCCACGTGCAATATTGGGAGGGAAGGATTTTCCACATTCATGCTTCCGTTTTATATTAGCCACTGGTCTAATATAAAAAATACTGGAATTGACGACATTTGACAATAATTATCAGTTTATTGTCATCGCATTTTGATAATAAGAATCAATACGTTGCGCTTTTTTTTATTAAATTTCCCTTACCACTAACAAAATTCATTACAATACTTGAAACATGTGTTTGAGATTAGGACAATCTATAACTTGGCCACAGACTAAAATAAATATATTTAGATAATACCGATAATAGATAGCAGACAAAATTTAGCACTGATTTGTGTTTGACATATTTTCAAGTACGTAGACCACCTGTATGTCCAAATTGATTGCTTGAAAATCCAACGGTGTTACATTGTTATTGAACAAGGGTTATTACACTTCAAAATATTATATTATGAAGATTGATAAGATTTGACATAAAAGAAAAAACACATATAATATAGCAAACCTTTTTATATTACTATTTTTTGCAGATCATGGAGGACTCAAAAAACGGTGAAGTAAATAAAGCCTTTTCCGTTGAAGAGGTGAGCATACACGTATTCTGTTCTTTAAGAACCTTAGAAATTAATATTTTGTTTTTTTTTATATAGGCAATTGAAAATGGCTTCGAAACACATAAGACTGAATTCCAAATGGACGATACTAGTGATATAGATAAATCCAGTAAATCAATGCGTATCGTTAAAACTAGTTTAATGTGGTTGGTCCACATTTTAGTAGGATCATATTTTGGTTATGCCACACATTACTATATTCGAGAATGTAAGTATTAAAATATTGTAGATTATTTTAAAATTATTGCAATGAAAATGGTATTATAAACCTATTTTGTAACCAAAAATTAGTTGCCGTTGTTTTTGCATATTCCGTCTAAGGTTATTTTGTCTTAGTTCTTGGATTATTGTTCGCCGTCAGGTGTTTCTTCTCTCCATCTCCCAGATTGTTCTTCATTGTTTGTTTGTAGCCTAAAGCACGATATTGAATTGCTTGGCTCACCATATATTGTTCGTGTAGCTTTTTAATGTTATTCTGGCTAGATGCTTCCAGATTTTCGCCAGATTTTCTAGGAACTTTTATCTTTCCTTGCTGTTTTCTTCACTTTTTTTGCTAGTAGTTCACACTTCTCTTTTGAGAAATTGTTGTTGTTCAGCAGCAATTTGAGTTCCCCTCTTTTAGAAATTAGGTTCCAAGTTTCGTTCAGATTTTTCTCTGTTTTTGTTTCTTCCACAACTTGGTGATATGTCAATGTGATGTCTTCCCATGTATGATGTTGATTTATTGGTAACTTTTAGATTATTGCCGTAGTATAGTAGTTTTAGGCGTAGTTGTTTTGGCCTGGCGTGGCTGGCTTTCTTCTTGGACATTTTATCTTGATTTCTCCTATAATAAGCTCGTGGTCACTGTTAGCTCCTCTTTTATTTCTGACTTCTGGAAGAGAGCTTTTCTATCTTCTACTAACGTATATGTGGTATATTTGATTGCGAGTATTGCCGCTTTGTGATGAATATCCTAGTGCGGGAACCAATGACAAGCTGAAATGTTTGGCTCCGCACTCATCTATTCCCATTGCTGAACGAGCGTTGGTGTTATCGCTTCCTATTTTAGCGTTAAAGTCACCCACGAGAATCACATAGTCTCCTTTCTGAATTTCATTGAGCGTGGCTGTTAGTATAACTCATCATTGACAGTATCTTCAGCACCATCCTTTGGAGCATAGCACTGTACCATGGTGACGTGTGTTGCGTTGCTCTTGAATCGATCCATTCCACAGGTTATATGCTGTTTCTAGGCGCACGTAAAATATGAAATGTTGTGCTTAATTGTATTATTCAAATTCTTCTTTCATATGACAAGCTGAAATGTTTGGCTCCGCACTCATCTATTCCCATTGCTGAACGAGCGTTGGTGTTATCGCTTCCAATTTTAGCGTTAAAGTCACCCACGAGAATCACATAGTCTCCTTTCTGAATTTCATTGAGCGTGGCTGTTAGTATAACTCATCATTGACAGTATCTTCAGCACCATCCTTTGGAGCATAGCACTGTACCATGGTGACGTGTGTTGCGTTGCTCTTGAATCGATCCATTCCACAGGTTATATGCTGTTTCTAGGCGCACGTAAAATATGAAATGTTGTGCTTAATTGTATTATTCAAATTCTTCTTTCATATGACAAGCTGAAATGTTTGGCTCCGCACTCATCTATTCCCATTGCTGAACGAGCGTTGGTGTTATCGCTTCATATTTTAGCGTTAAAGTCACCCATTAGAATCAATAGTCTCCTTTCTGAATTTCATGGAGCGTGGCTGTCAATTGTGAGTAGAACTCATCTTTGACAGTATCTTCAGCACCATCCTTTGGAGCATAGCACTGTACCATGGTGGCGTGTGTTGCGTTGCTCTTGAATCGATCCATTCCAGATATTGCTCTCCATGTCTCCAACGACTTCTTAGCGTTCTTCGACATTAGGATCGCAACGCCATTTTCTTTTCCACTACACATTAGTAGTTGCCTTGTCAGAACCATCGTTCTGTAATGAATGGCTCAGAGAGGTCCTTTCCGACTTTAACTGCTGACCTTGTGCCACTCAAAGTCATCCTGTATAGCCGTAATAATTTTGCAGGAAAGCCGAACGCAGATATGGCTTTAAATACCTCTAAACGGATAGGGCTGTCGAATGCGGCTTTATAGTCGACGAATATGTGGAATGTGTCGAAGTATTTTTCGTAAGTCTTTTCCAGAATTTGGCACAGAGTGAAAATGAGGAATTTGCCTGATCTGAAGCCGCATTGGTATGGTCCAATGGCATTGACCATTGGCTTCAGTCGTTCACACAGCACGCTGGATAGCACTAAATATGCGATGGGAAGGAGTCTTATTCCTCTATAGTTGGCACATATCGTCCTGTCTCATTTTTTTGTACACCGGACTCAAGATGCTGAGGTTCCAATCATTGGGTATGCATTCCTTTAGCCAAATTGTACTAATCAGCTTGTGCATGCTCCTGACCAGAATCTGACCATCGGTCTGGAATATTTCGGCCGGTGACCCATCGGCACGAACTGCTTTATTATTCTTCATCGGATTGATTGCTATCCTACCCTCATCTTGGCTATGTGGTATACACTCTATAACGTCATCTCGTATTGGTTCTAGGGTATCTTCTTCAACTCCACCATTTGATACCAAAAGCTCTGCAAAATGTTCCTTTCATATCCTCTACACGCTATCTGTATCTGTCACCAGGTTTTCATCTTCACCTCTATAGGTGGATGTGCCTGCCTGCCTAGAGCCTTCGGTTTGATGTTTTATCCGTTGGTAAAATTTCCGGACTTAATTCTGACTCCTGTACATTTCGATTTGCTCACGTTCACGTTTTTCTTGTTTCTTTCTTTTCTTTTTTTTTTTTTTTTTTTGAAAATACGTATCTCCTCTCTCCTTTTCTCCCAATAATTCTCTATCTCATTAGGTGTTGCTTCTGTCATCATCAGTAGCAGTACGAAACTCCTTATCGTACTACAGGTTGATGGTTGTCTTTGGTACCCAATTGTTGTTTTTGCCGCAGTTTGTAGGGTGTGGGAAATTCTTTGACATTGTGCTTCTTTATTATTATCGGGGCAAGGAGTTCTTTCGCCAAACAGGCGAGTACTTTGAGAGGAGTAGGCTTCTGCTACCTTTTGTGTTTGCAGCTTTTCGTCGTCGAGTTTCCGCGTTGTGTTAGATCGCACATTTATTGCTTCATTAAGACGAGTGCGAACCTTGGCTGCAACAAAGTAGTGGTCCGAATCGACATTCGCTCCTTGGATCGATCGAACTTCTAAAACACTGGATGAATGTCCTCCGACGTTCACAACATGATCAATTTGATTTTCCGTTGCTTGATCAGGAGAAATTCAGATTACCTTGTGTATATCGATATGCTTGAATCTGGTGCTGCTAACTACCATATTTTTTGCTACCGCGAACTCAATCAACCTCATGTCCTTGTCGGATGTTTCTTGATGGAGGCAGAATTTTCCGACGGTGGGGTCAACAAATATTTTCCCTTCCGATTTTAGCATTAAAATCTCCAAGCATAATTTTAGTGGCATGGCCAGGGCACAGGTTATATGATTTTCTAGGCGCTCATAAAATATGTCTTTGTATGCTTATTTCTCAAATTCCTCTTTCATATCCTGTAATTTTTTTATTATTTTGCAGATAACAATCATCATTGTGATTGGGCCTGGGAACCCGACGCAATATATTGTCCTATGCGATTCTGCAGCGGCTATGGATTTCTGATATTGTTTCTTGGCTTCACCTATTTCGGTTTAATCTATTATTATATTTTTAAGCCGAAATTGGGACGGACACTGCATCGTCAGTATTTGGTACCATTGGATCGATGGTGGATGGTATTCAGTAGAAGGAGGTAAGCAGCAAATAAACTACAGGAATATTTTAGTGCATAAGTAAAAAATTCGGACTTTCTACTTTACAGAGTAATATCGGCAATACTGATTGGCATTTTGTTGGTGGCATTGGCCATTTTCTTGTATTTCGAAACGAAAGATGAACCCCAAAAACTGACTTCTCTGGTGGCACCCTGTTTCTTTATACTCTGTGGTTATGTGTTCTCAACGGATCGTTCGGCCATTAAGTGGCGTATCGTTATAACCGGCATCACATGTCAATTTATATTGGGTATCATTTGTATACGCTGGAGTGTTGGACGTAGTATATTCGAATGTGTTGGCAATAAAACAGCCACTTTCCTGGCATTTGCCGATGAGGGTAGCCGCTTCGTTTATGGCGATAATATTGTCAATCAGGGTGTTTTCGCCTTTGCCATTTTATCGGTCATCTATTTCTTTAGTTTTGTTATATCCATTCTGTATTATATGGGCGCTATGCAATGGGTGGTCATGAAGTTGGGTTGGATATTGGCACAGATACTTGGCACAACGGTGTGTGAAAGTGTCACAGCGGCGGCGAATATTTTCTTGGGCATGTCAGAGAGTCCATTGTTAATTCGGCCGTACATAAAAATTTTGACTGCCAGTGAAATACATTCCATTATGGTGTCCGGTTTTGCCACGGTGTCGGGTACAGTACTGGCGGCATATCTTAGTTTTGGAGCATCACCAGCCCATTTGATAACATCTAGTGTAATGGCAGCACCAGCAACATTGGCCATATCGAAGTTGTATATGCCCGAAACGGAGGAGAGTAAAACGGCAGCCGATAATATACAATTGGAAAAAACGTAAGATGATTAATTTTAACACTTTTTAGTAATATAAAAAATATATTTTAAATATTTACCTTTTGCTTGTTATTTTTGTAGTGAAGATTCTTCGATATTGGATGCCGCCTCGAATGGTGCCAACAATGCCATACCAATTGTTTTGGGTATTTCGGCGAATATCATTGCTTTTGTAGCTTTCATAGCCTTCCTTAATGCAGTGGTGAACTGGTTTGGCACTCTCGTGGGTCTGGACTTCATTGACTTTGAATGGCTTTTTTCGAAACTTTTCATACCCTTAGCGTGGGCAATGGGTGTACCATGGGAGGATTGCAATGAAGTAGCCAAAGTTGTGGCAACCAAAACGATTATCAATGAATTCGTGGCCTATGAACGTTTGGGTGTATTAATTACAAATAATATTATTAGTGTAAGTATTGATTTTTTTAAAAGTGATTTTAAAATGTCATTTACTGGAATATATATTTTTTCAATTACCAACTTACTTTTTCCTTTCGATATTTTAGGCTCGCAGCGCTGGTATAACAACATTTGCCATTTGTGGTTTTGCAAATCCCAGTTCCTTGGGTATTTTAATTGGTTCCTTGGGTGCTATGGCTCCCAATAGACGTGGCCTTATCACTTCTGTGGCATTTAGAGCATTTGTTGTGGGTAGTATTGTGTGTTTTGTTTCGGCCAGTTTTGCAGGTGAGTTAAAAAAAATACAGTTCTATAAAAAAATAAGCCATAGAACAGATGTTTCTGTAGGTTAGATTTGTTTTCTATAGAAAAAAAAAAACAATACCCCAGTCATTATACCCTACACAACTATGTTATCAGGGTATTATAGCATTGTGAATCCCCAAGAGTTTGTAACGCAGCGAAATATTGGACCTAGACCCACCTTCAAGTATACCGATTGTCATATCTCGACTCGAGAAGTCGATCTAGACATGTGTGTCCGTCCGTCTGTTCATTATAATTTGTAAATACGATACAGGCCACAGTTATGGACCAATCTTCACGAAATTTTGCATGTAGGATGGGTTCAGCCCAATGAAGACCCCGATTGTTTTTTGTAAAGAAAAATGAAATGCTCAGTCACTTAATTTTTGTCTGGTTTTCTATAGGAAAAAAATCCACTGTCACTGACGACAAATTTTTTCTACAGAAAAAAAATTCACAGTCACTGAGGACACATTTTTTCTAAAAGAAAAAATCCTCAGTCACTGGGAATAATTTTTTTCTATAGAAAAAATCCTCAGTCACTGAGGCACTGAGGACAAATTTTTTTCTATAGAAAAAACTCCTCAGTAGCTGAGGACAAATTTTTTCTTAAGAAAAATAGGAAAAAATTCTCAGTCACTGAGGACAGATTTTTCTCTATAGAAAAAAATCCTTAGTAAAAGAGGACAAATTTTTTTTCTCTATAAAAAAAAACCTCAGTCACTGAGGACAAATTTATCTCGACACAAAATCCAATACAAAACTTGACATGCATCAACCTAGACCTAATTCAATACTCTGTGTTAAATTTTGTTTCAATCGGACAAACATTTATAGTATGGTGCACCATTTACATAAAATCGAAGGAAACTATATATGGGATCTATACCTAATTCTGAACAGATTCCAACCAATCTTCGCATACATAAATTCGAACCTACTTCAGTACGCTGTGCAAAATTTTGTGTCAATCGGCATAAATTTGACTCTTTTGTGCTCCATTTACATAAAATCGGACGAAACTATATATGGGAGCTATATCTAAATCTGAACCGATTCCAACAAAACCTGCCATACATCAATCTGGGCCTAATTCAATACACTGTTCAAAATTTTGTCGCAATTGGACAAATATGGGGAGTTTGGTGTTCCATTTACAAAAAATCGGACGAAACTATATATGGGAGCTATATCTAAATCTGAACCGATTCCAACAAAACCTGCCATACATCAATCTGGGCCTAATTCAATACACTGTGCAAAATTTTGTCGCAATCGGACAAATATTGGGAGTTTGATGCTCTATTTACATAAAATCGGATGAAACTATATATGGGAGCTATATCTAAATCTGAACAGATTTCAACAAAACTTCGCATACATCAATCTGGGCCTAATTCAATACTCTGTGCAAAATTTTGTCTCAATCGGACAAATGTGGGCCGTATGATACTCCATTTACATAAAATCGGACGAAACTATATATGGGAGCTATATCTAAATGTGAACCGATTTCAACAAAACTTCGCATACATCAATCTGGGCCTAATTCAATACTCTGTGCAAAATTTTGTCTCAATCGGATTAATATTGAGAGTTTGGTGCACCACTTACCTAAAATCGGACGAAACTGTATATGGGAGCTATATCTTATTTTCTTAGGGTTCTTTCAATAGGGTTCGTCCTTGGGCCAAATAAGTGACATGTGCCAAATTTCATTCAAATCGGATCATAAATGCGGCCTGTACTTTGTTCACAAAAATACATTGACGGACCGTCATGCTTAAATCGACTCTAAAATTGATTCTATGCATATTCTCAAAAGGAACCATAGGTTTATCTCGTTTCCTTTTGCCTGTTACAAACATATGCACAAAGACATAATACCCTGTACCACAGTGTGGTGAAGGGTATAAAAATCCCCGGTCATTTAATACAACATTTTTTCTGTAGAAAAAAATTCCTCAGTGATGATTTTTTCACAGAGGACAATTTTTTTCGGAAGAAAAAAAATCCTCAGACACTAAGTCAAGATTTTTTCTATAGGTTTATTTATAAAGTGTGAGACGTAATCTCAGTTTGTAATTTTTATAAAACTAAATATTTTTTATCACGGAGGACATATTTTTTCTATAGAAAACAACCCTGGTCACTCATTCCATCCCTGAGACTTATTTTTTATTAATTTGTGTTTTCCATATTTATTTTTCTCTTTCAGGTATCTTAATGCAAGAAGAGGAAGAAAGTCGTGTTTATGAACGTATACTTAATGTAATGCAAATGAAAAATATTACAATAGGTTTTATTGAAAATCAATAATAAACAAACACCATGCATTAAATAATTATCCAGTCTTGCCTGATATATGGTAAACAGTATGAAAAGTTTTAAAGTGTATAATTAGAAAATATATGTTAAAAGCTCAACTAGAAAAAGACACAACTTTAGTTTTTTAAGTTACATAAGTTAAGCTATTTATTTAAGTATAATTAAAATAACGATGTATATACTAAAACAAAAAAATACGTTTTTATTTTTTAACGATATTTACAACAATTATTATTTTAATAAACATTTGTCAATATTGTGTTTTATACAATTTAGTAATTCTATATCTTTATTATCAAATTTCGATGATGAGTGGTTAAGTTTTTGTGAATATTCGAATAATTCATTTAAAATACGTTTGTAATCGGATGGATCACAATTATCACCAATTACACGAGGTCTTTTGCTAATGTGTACTTCCTGATATTCATTTGCTTTGTTCGGCAAAAGTGTGTGGCCTGCGTCCTTAAATTTATTTAAATTATTAATTTCACACGTTTTTGTGGATTCCATAAATTGTTGTAATTTGATTAAATTTGGACTTTGTAAAGATTTCATTAAACCATCACCATGTGGTTTTTTATCCAGTAAATATTCTAACATATAAACACCAAAAAATGTTTTAGTTTTACTTAAATTCTGATTGAGACATTTAATTATTGTCACGTCTAATTGTGAGTCATTTAATAGCTTAAAAATAGAAAAACATTTCCATAGGAACATTTTAAATTTATTTACTTCAGAAGCAGATAGGGAAAATATTTGCAGGAAGGCTTTCATTAGATCATCCTTTACAACGCCAACCATAACAAATTGTTCATTGCGAGACCAAATGTCTAATAAGTGTAGCTGAAAAAATTCAACAAATTTTAATAGAAAATATTGAAAAATGTGTTTGCCATTTTATTACTCACAAGTTCATTATATTCTCTTTTCAGCAGCATGCCATTGTGTATACGTTTCAAATAGCTTGTCAGCTTTGTATTTAAATAGTTAAGTAATTTCATGTTTTCAATACCACATTTTAGTAGTATTATCTCTTTGTTTTTACAATTTTCAAAATATGTTTCTAGGCTGCTTTGCGGTATTGAGGTGACAATGGTTTTTAAAATAATTTCTGTTAGGCTTTTGTGATAGCTAACAGTTGCTTTGTTGGTATATGATTTATATCTTTGCCAACATTTTAACCAGAATTCAAGGCAAGGTTGCAAATCTGCATCCGATAATTTAAAGAGGTATCTAAAAACAGAATTCATCATTAATAATTAATAATTTTAGATTATCTTAACACTTACCCATAATAGATGCGCAAAATTTCACAGCTTGTGTAGGCTTTAAGCCAGTTAGATTCTGTGATATGTTTACACCACTTCAAGTGTAGAACACCACTATCATCTTGAGCGGTCAATGTTGCAAAATATATCAAAATTTTGAAAAATTTTTCACAATCGACAAATATAAGGGGACCTAGAATGTTATACAAATTTTTGTAAATACAGTTTTAATTGTTATTTGAATAAATTTTAACCTACCATCGAAGAGTATATCATATATTCGAATGAGGGATGCCGCGTCCACGGAATATTTTTTATTTTGATCACAGCAAATTTTAAAATATTCTATAATTAAATCACAACTTGTAAACTTGTTATTGTCGTCCATTAAATGCTGGCATAGGAGCTTTAAATATAAGAAAATAAATGCAAATATTGGCTTTAATTAAGTTCGATCTTTTTATACCCTCCACAACGTTAATTTATTGGAAAAAAAAACTTTTTTTATAAATCATGCTTCGATGTGGTTGTTGTAACAGTTCGGCTGGAACCATGTGTTTTTCCCTGTAGATTCGGTAGAGATATTAAAATTTGTTCTAATAGGTTCATTAGTGTGTGGAAAGTGTGCGGGATTAGTGTGATGATGGGATATGGGTATTTTGGTTATGATGATATGTGTGTTTTTGGAGTTATTGGGATATGTGTGTGTAGGTGTGAATATATTATGTTGGAAGCTGCAAAAATTGTGACACCTCCACTGATCTATCCCAGAGATCCCCAGGGCGCAAATCTGTGGGCCTGACTGGGCAAGAAAATATGTGATTTGTGTCATGAGGAGTTCTGCGACAGTTTGGGCACTGATCACATGTGCTAGAAATAATTCGTGATTGATAATTATTTAGAATGGTGCTCCTACCAGATCTAAGTTGAGCTAGAGTTGTTCTAGTGGATCTGAAAAGGCGCTTTTCAAAGGCACTGATTGCTGTGGTATGTTTGTTAAGGACATTGTTTAGGCAATATCCGTCGACGGCTTGATTCCCCGATCGTGTGTGCAGCGGTTTCAGACCTGCAGCTATTGACGATCTGTTGTGGTCGGATGGTATGACGTCTTGGATGTCTGGTCGGAAATGTCTGATGTCCTTCCGGATGTGTCGTGGAGGAGGATCCTGCACCACTATGTGGTGGTTGGGATGACTGGGCAGATGGCAGGCCAGAAGGAACTGCCTGGCAAGCAACACATTATGTTGCTGTACTAACAGTATCCTTGTCTCCTCAAGAAGATGGTCCAGTATTTTGGGATGTTGTACTATCGGAATTCTTCGGTTATCGATAATAATATCTAGCTCTGTGTTATGTTCACGTGTCCAGGAGGTAATTAACGTCACAGTAGTGGTTTTCAGAGGCTTTATATATCTATGGTGGGAACTTTGTACGGTTTGTTGAAATGTTTTTTCAGAGGCTTCTTGACTGCGAAAAATTAATTGAAATAATTTCCTCAGCTATATTAGGAGTTTATTTTGCCATCCTCTTTGTGGGAAATATATTACTTTGTAAACCATTGGTTTGTTAGCCAAATACCTTGGGGTATTCACAGGCTCTTTTGAAAGTTCAAGTAATTGGATTCATTTTCCCAGGGAATGCCTTTGGTTTAAAAATGCCTTAACTTCCAAGGTTCTGGTTGAAAAGTCCAACAATTTCCTCGGTTTCCCAAACTACTTCCAAGTAGTTTGAACTTAATGAACTTTTCTGAAAAGAAAATACCTACTCTTCGGAATTAAACCTTAGAACGAATAAGTCTGCTATGTTTATCTATTAATGAAGTTTTAATGTGTACTCGATTCCAAAGGGGTCTCAGAATAATATTTGGATAAATAAGAAATAAGATTACAAAATGATTTTTGGGGGAGGTTATAAAAAGTATTTAGTCTTACTTTTTCTATAATTTCCTTTTGATCTGTTAAAGCCAAAATATCATTGAAATCGGATTGGATGCCATCGAGTAATTTGCTTTTTATATCCTTTCGCAATTCACTAAAATAAACAAAATGATTTTTTTTTTTTAAATAAAATGGATATAATATGAACAACTTACTTACTGTATAAAAATCACATAGATTTCAAAATATTCCGCAGTTGATGGTAATTTGTTAGAGTTTTTAGCAATGATTTTGATTAATTTCAAATAAAATTGGGCAACTTTTAAGAAGTTATCATTATTGAGGGCCGATTTCTGTAAAGTAATTATAAATTTAAATATATTATTTTTACTTTAAATAAAAACAATTTATATCGAACTTACATCATCTTGAAAAAATTTAAAAAGTTTTTGTAATTCTTTTATTATACCCCTGATTGGTTGGTCTGTTGCATTTCGTTGCAATTCATTGAATTCATTTTTCAAGTCAACATCCAATTCCATTGTGGTCTCATAACATTTACCCGTAATTTTGGCCACAATACGCCATGTTTCAATGGAAAGTTTAATATCGGCTGATGAAATTATTGCAGCAACTTCACACAATGATTTTAATACTGAGAGAATGTATTATTATTAAATTGCAAATGGTTAAATATTCATTTTTTACCTTTATTAAGACCTTTGATATCTCCAGATTTTTGTATTTCCATTTTAAGCACATGTTTGGTTAGTATTTGTAAAACATTTTGATGTATAAGTGTCAAAGGTTGCATATTTCTGTTAAGCAAAAGAAAATTAGTATTTTAAACCGTAAGCATATATCTATAATTACGTACCCGTTTTCGTTAAACTTACTGGTCTGAATAACTGTTTCAAAACCAAATGCCAATATCAGACACAAAATACTCATCTCCAAATCGCCAATAATTGTCTGTAACCATTGTAGGAATTCATGGCTATCTGACCACCATTGTTGAAGTTGTTTGGATTTAGTGTCCGATTTTGAAGTGGTTAAATTTTTAATAAACTGAAATATAAATAGTAAACAAATAATTTGATACAAATTGATCAATGGTTTTTTGACATAAATAGAAGATTTATCCGTATTAAGTATTTCGGACTCCAAGGCCGGAATCTTAATTGTCACACCAAGTACAGACACAATCTAAATTGATCCTCAATACACTACTATAGGTATATAGAGCCTATTGTTTAGCGTAGCATTTAAAACAATTAGTTATACTTACATTATCCAATAGTTTCTCCAAATAACCAATTATCTCAATCCAATCTTGATGTGTAAATTCCGATGCCTCATATGCTTTGAATAATTTCTTCACCCACAAATTGTAAACATCTTCAGCAGGAGCGCAACTCTTCTCACATATTTTCAAGGCTTGATATTTATCAATGCACATTGCAATGTCCTCAATTTCCAACTGGGCCAATTCCTCAAAAGTTATTAATATGTGTTCGTTATTAATGGAGGACATAATGGAAATAAAATATAATATTTTTTAATTATTTATGATTTAATTATCTTAAAACTATCAACAAAACATTTGTGTACTTCGAATAGGGCGCGCGAAACAGCTGTTTTAGCCACCAAATACAGAAAAATGTAGTTGGCAACTCAAACTTTAATAAACAGATCTGTAGGCCTATTCTGTAACTTTTAATAACTATCGATATTGTTTAAAATTCTTTTGTTATTGTAAAAACAACAAAACAAATAAATGAAATTGTTGTGAAATAAACAATATCGAATGTGGTTAAAAAGTTACAGAATATGCCTACTGGAATGTGTTTACACGATAGTCGTTCAATTTGTTGTACAATTACCTCTGATGTGCTGAAAAAGGGGATGTGCTGAAAAGGGGATGGTCATCATTACATGAAATCGGACTAAAATATATTCATAAGTCGGCCAATGGACCTAAAAAGTTTTCTGAGCTGTTATATATCCTTTTTATTGTAATCAGCAGGTATCATTAACCTACCTATTGTACCATGAATTTTCTCTATTTCTCTCGATATAAATTCTGCAATTAAAACCAGTAAGGGAAGTAGTAAAGCAGGGCCGACTATATGATGCCATTCACCACATTGGGTATATTCTACATATGCATGCTAACAATTTTATTTCAATGTTCCTTCGAGGGAAATTGAACGAATTTAAATAGATGACCTTATCTATAAGTGAACCGACTAACATCAATCCGCAAACTATGCTAAATGTCACTTCATAAGGACAGATTTGGAGCCGTTTGTATGGAAGCTATGTCTGCATCTGCACCAACTAAAAAAAAAAAAAAACATAACACCATTCTAGTCTCATTGATTCGTTGTGCAAAATTTCGTGTCAATCGGACAAACATTAGAAGTTTGGTGCACCATTTATCTATCATCGCAAGCACATATATATAAAGTAAATTGTACAAAATTGTGTAAAAACGTTGGGTCTTTAATGCACAATTTACATCAAATCGGAAGAAAAGACATATGGGAGTTATATCTAAAACTGAACCGATTGTCACGAAACTTAGCACACACCAATTTAGCCTTAACTTAGTACGCTATGCAAATTTCGTGCAAATCGAAAGATATACAGGGACTTTGGTACACCATGTATATTAAATCGGACGAAAATATTTATGGGAGCTATATCTAAATCTGAACTGATTTTCACGAAACTTAACACACATCATTCTAGACAAAATTCAGTACGCTATCCCAAATTTCGTGCAAAACAAAAGATATATAGGGATTTTGGTACACCATTTACATTAAATCGTACGAAAATAAATATGGGAGCTATATCTAAATGTGCACCGATTTTTCCCAATTTCAATAGGGCTAAATAGATGAGCTGTGCCAAATTTCATCCAATTCGGATAATAAATGCGACCTGCACTTTGTTTAAAATTTAACATGCACAGACAGACGGACGGACGTGCTTAAAGAAAGTGATTCTATGCATATTCTCAAAAGGAACCATGTGTATATCTCGCTTCCTTTCGCCTGTTACAAACATATGCACAAAGACATAATACCCTGTACCGAATTTAGAAATTCTAAAATTTACAGCTATAAAGTAAAAGTTGCCAACAATTGTCAATACCCAAAAAATGATGAATACCCAATATATTTTTGTTTACTTATCATGCACTTTATTCATTCATTACAGCCTTCTTTTCATCATGGATTATTCTCATTGCCTTTAGGAGTTCCTTCAAATTTGTACCAATTTTGGCACTAATACCTATCACAGGCATATTAATTTTCTCCTTTAGTTCCAATAGATTTTCCTTTGCTTCGGGCATATCTATTTTATTTGCTACGACTATTTTTGGATAGCTGGCCAACTTTTCACTAAATTGACTCATTTCATATAACAAAGTTTCATATTGAATCCATGGTTCCTGTGCGCTTGCATCCAATAGAAACATTAATGCTGTACAATGTTCTGCATGTTTTAAAAATTGCAATCCCAGGCCTTTGTTACGATGTGCATCAGGGATAATGCCAGGAAGATCGGCAACAGCTAATTGGAAATTATCAGCATATTGAATCATACCAATATTTGGACGTAATGTTGTAAAAGCATATGGGGCTACTTTGGGCCTTGCTCTACTAATGGCATTCAGCAGGGTACTTTTGCCGGCATTTGGAAAACCAATAATACCAATATCGGCTATACAACGCATTTCCAATATATAATTGAAATCTTCTCCCGGTGGTCCATGTTCACATATTTTTGGAGCAATTTGTTTTTCACTGGCAAAGAAAGCATTGCCCTTGCCACCGGCTCCACCACGCGCAGCAATAAACATCATACCCTCACGACTAAGATCACCAATAATTTCTCCCGATTCATTGCGAATGATAGTGCCAATGGGCACCTTGACGATGGTGTGTTTAGCATTTTTGCCATGACAATTTTTGTCGGTACCCTTTTGTCCCTCATCTCCGTGGATTTTGTTGGATATGTGATAAAGATTTGAGACATTGCTGGATGCTTCGAATATTATATGACCACCGTTACCGCCATCACCACCATCAGGACCGGCTCTTTCGTTACACCACAGCTGAAGAAATGAAATACAACCGTCACCACCTTTACCGCCCACCGTTCGTATCATTTTTATATCTGAAAAGTTTTGGTGCTGTAATTTAGTTCCAATATATCTGTTAGATTGATGAACAGTTGCACAACATCATCCATTACTTTACCTGGTATATCCGATCAGATTTCGCCTTTTTGGGTCTCAGTGCTGTGACCGCAATATCCTTGTCCTTTATCCATTCCTTGTTTGGCTTGGCTGTACAGTAACGCCTTAGAAGTAATGTGGAAAAACGTCTTAGAGACATCTCTCACCGGATTGTGTGTTTTGCAAGATGAAGTAGAGGAATGCCGGACAAAAAATTTGTAAACAAATGCACATGAACTGAACAGCTGGTAATCAGCTGTTCTTTAAAGGCAAATAGTGGAACGTAACCGCAACGTTGCAGTCAAATGATATTTTGCAGTCCGGTTTGATATGGACTGAATCCAATACAGATTTTTATGTCTATTCCGAATTAGTAGATTATTGGAGTACAACAAGTAAATGGTATGTTCCCATCTATTTGTTAAGGATTAAGAGCCCTGGTAGGGGCTTTTCAATGTTTGTTACAGGTTGAATAAGATGCGACTGAGCTACACTCTGGTGTTCTACGATAAACTTAAAACTTCGTCGAGTCGACTTCTTTATGTAGTATTTGAAAAAAAAAAAATTATTTTGTTAGGATCAATACCACAATGGCTTATATTTGAAAAATTTAAAAGAAATACAAATATATCAGAGGGCCCCAACGAAATTTTGGAGGCCTATAGCTCATGGCGTATTGATATCCGCAAAGAACAAATCATATTGTAATAAGGGTCCTGACTGACTCCCCTAAACTTCACTTGTTCCCTGCTTTACTATATAAAAGAAAAAAATCCAACATAAGTAAGCCTTGGAAAATAAAATATATATTTTCTTAAAAAAAAAATTTTTCTTCAAAAATTTTTCAGTTCAATTTTAATTGTGGAATAGAAAATTTCAAGTTAATTCAAATTTCTGAACAATTGTTTAAAAAAATGGAGAAGCCTGTCGGTGTTAGTAAACGAAATCCTTTTATGATTTTCTTGGCGGAATACCGTCAAGAATTGACTAATAATGGCATTGGAAATGTTCCGGCATCTGAGGCTGCCAAAATAGCGGGGCACCATTGGAGGAATATGTCGTCGGACGATAAATTGTCCTATCAGATAATGGCTGCACAAAATAAGGGCCTAACCGATGCTACAGCTGGAAGGAGGAGAAGACGTAGACGAGCCGCTTCACGTAGTCCATCACCAGTTAGACGTACAAGGCGGCGACAAGCAGGCAGGGCTTCAAGACGTAGAAGAAGGACAAGGAGCATGTGAAAATGTTCTCCCTCTTTTTTTTTTGTAAAATTTTAAATGTCTAATAAAGCTAAATTAAAATGTGTGTGTCCATACAATTTTTGTTGTTTTTTATGTATCAATATGGTTTAGAAATATGGAAAAATACAATGAAATTAAATTTTAGTAGATTTAAATATTTGCACTTTATTTGATCAGAGTATTACGATGTTTACTGTTTCAATTAAATCGGAGGTAATATTGGAGGAATAATAATCCGCTCTCCTGCCGGACAAACGTTCAATTTTTGGAGGAAGGAATTTTCGGTACATTACATCTCATAAAATAAATTCAGTCCAACGTTGAGGTGACAGATCTGTAGAGGTATGCAATGGAGGCCTCCCAGGGCGAAATGTCGAAAAAGAGTATTGCGGCGCACACAATCTCTTTAGGATTAGGATCAACCATAAGACAATTTATAGCGCTTTAACCACCAAAAATAAGACTCAAGTCTCCAACGGGTAAAATTTGAGCAACAAATTAAGATACCTTGTGTAAATCGATAAAGCGATAGGCTGGCCGGTATGCAGTGCTGAATGTGATAATTTCCGCAAAGCTACCACAATTCTTACTTACGAAGGCAGCCCTGTGCGTCCACCCAAAAATATATTTTCGATGCAGCATCAGATAAACTTCCATTTCAATAGTTATTGGACCATATTGGGGACCTCATAATTGGACAATTGAATTAATATGAGAGATTTTTTATTGACTGGACAACATTCTGAATTATTGAACTAAATGAGCTACATGAACTAGACAAACAAATGAACTGGAAATAGTTCCCCTAGTCCATTTCGCGGATTCGTTGACATAGTTCCCATCATTCATTTTGTGGAATTGTTAATTTGAACCAATTTGTTCGGGAAGGACGCATTTTGTTTATATTTTCCCCATTAGATTACAAAAAATAAACAATTTCAATTTTATTCCGGTAAATAATGAACGAATTACAATTATTATCAGCAGTGCCAGAAAGATAATAAATTCAGTCTCCAAAATTGCTTCTATGGTCGATGTAAATGGTAGCTAGGTATTTTAACATAATAAGGTGTATTCCGTAATGTAAATTTATGTATGGAACCATAGATCTATTAGTTCATAATCTCAATGTGTAATGGTATTTTAATGTTATAAGTTTCCTGGGGTTTATGCGACAATATTTTGTGCGTCAAGTCTTTTTCGGGTCACTCCCACCAAAAGTTATTCTGAGACATTCCTTCGGGCATCATCATGTCTGTGCTTGAACCAAGGAAACTGAATATAGTCAAGGGTTTGACAGACAGTTTCAGTGTGTGGTGATGGTTTTGTGTCAGGAAGGACATCTGTCTATAGAACAAAATTGAAAATTTCTCAACAATTGAATCTGTGGTTCAGGATCACACGGCCAGTGATTTTCTATTGAGCGGCAGTTGTATTAATCAATATTCCCGTTGATTGATTGCAGTCAAGGGATGAGTTTAGAATAGTCCGGACTAAGATCTACCACAGAGTATCATTCCTGGTTCGATTTGATGATTTTTAGTTATAATGTGGAAGTCAAAGCTCATGAGTTCGAACCCTGATCTACCCAGGAGTATCATAACTACCGATTCGTTGATTTATAGTTATAATGTAAAAGCTTATTTATCCCAATGGAAACTGCCACATGAGCTAATATCGAAAACGAGGATTCAAAATCCGTCAGTCTTCAATTACAGTGTCTTCGTGCATCAAAAATAAATATAAATATATTTTCATTAATTTTTTCTTTATATCCAATAGCTCGAAAATGCCTCCCTATTCAATCTCATTTTTTGGCTAAAATCTCTACGTAATTGGGCATAAAAAATCCATTACATACATTGTTCCATCACTGTATAGCTGGGCTACATAAAAAGATTCATGATTAAAAATGGTGGAATGTTTACTGTGTTTGAAATCCATAAAAGATGTAGCTGAATCGGAATGTATACTGGTCGATTCGATGCAATGGGAAGAGTTGTCTATCAAAAAATTGATTGATAAACATCTGTGGCCCATAGTAAGTATGATTAACAATAAATTTTAATATAGAAAAATTAAACTAATTTTTACTCCCTTTTTCAGGACACCATAACTCCTCAGTCATGCCTTTGTCCAACTTGCTGGCAAGAATTAAATGGATTTCATAACTTCTATACACGGATCGAGGAGGCCCACAATGATTATAAATCGCTGTTGAAAGCCGAAATAGATCCATTGGAGGAGGAAAGTAAACCCAAAGATTTACTTTTGGAAAATCTACTGGAACCTGAAATAGTTATTGGACAACCACTGGATGTTGCCATTGTTATAAAACAAGAAAATGAAGAGACGGCAATTGTTCCAAAAATCGATAGTGATAACGAGGACGAGAAAGATAAATCACAATCTCTGACAGATGATGATCGGGAATTTATGGATGATTTTAGTGGTAATAGTGATGATAGCGAGGACAGTGATAGTGAAGATGATTTGCCACTCATACAAAGGTCAAACAAATCGGCTGCTAAAACAAAATCCGATGTAAGCCTTGAATCCGATGATGGTAGTATAAATCCCGATCCATTACAACCACGTCGACGGGGTCGTAAAAAATCAACGTTTGACTCGAAATCGAATACAGCCGCGCGAAAATCATATTATCAACCTAAAACAAATCGCCTGGAACATGACAAATTTCTGCAAGAACATTATAAAATAACCTGCAACAAATGTCATTTGCCATTCGATACATTCCCACTGCTCTGCAAACATTATAGTAAAGAGCATAATGAACGTGGATTTGTGACATGTTGTGAAATGAAATTTTATGATCGCAGTTTACTAGTGGATCATATAAATTTCCATTTAAATCCCGAATACTTTAAATGTAAGGAGTGTGGTAAGGTATTAACACAACGACGTTGTTTGTGGGCCCATATGAAACTCCACGAGGAGAAGAAGTTCTGTTGTGATGTTTGCGATAAGAAATTTGTACAAAAATCTAAATTGGAGAGACATAAACTGACACACTTGCCGCAACAGGAGAAAAAATATCCATGCAGTGAATGTGGTAAATTGTGAGTAACCAAAAATGAAATGAAGTTTCAAATTTAATAGAAAATTCGATTTTTTCCTGTAGCTTTGGCAACGAATATGTTCTAACACAACATCATCGTGTGGTCCATTTGAACATCTATGCCAAGGTGTGTGAAGTTTGTGGTCAAACAATGCCCGATTCGAATTCATTTAAACGTCATATGGAGAAGCATGATAATATAAGTGAACCTAAGACGGCCACACCCACTGCAACGGTTAAATGTGATGATTGTGGTCTGATATTGGCGGGACCCCTTAATCTGAAACGTCATCGAGATTTACAACATCCTCCCGGTGGCAAACGTGATTACACCTGTCATATATGTTCGAAAGTATCACCGAATATGAGAGCGTTAAAAAAACACATACGCTGTACACATGAAATGGGATATGATTTCAAGTGTACAATGTGTGAGAAGGCATTTAAGCGATCGGATAATTTGAAGGTAAATACATTGATTAAAATTATGGGAAAATTGTGTTTAGTTAAAAATATTTAAAAATTGTGTTAAATACACTATGATATAATCTTTAGAAATTTAAAATATATATTACAAAGACTAATTGGTTTGTAAAGAGACCACAGGTCTTTACAAACACGAATTTATCTGTATTTAACATCAAACGACTATCTAAAGAACAATTGTCGGTCACAGGACTTTATAAATACCAATTGATCGATATAGAGACCACAGGTCCTTATAAAGACCAGTTGTTCTGTATAGAAACCAACGGTCTTTATTAAGACGAAATGATCCGATATAGGCCTCAGGTCTTTATAAAGACGATGTACAGGTCTGTATAAAGGCCAACTGGTAGATTTAGAGACCATAGGTCTTTATGAAAATCAATTGATAGATATAGAGACCAGAGGACTTTTTAAAGGCAAATTGGTCGATATAGAGACCATAGAACAATTCGTCGATATAGAGACCATAGGTCTTTATGAATACCAATTGGTCGATATAGAGACCACAGGTCTTTATGGAGACCAATTTGTCGATATGGAGACCACAGGTGTTTCTGAAGACCAGTTGATCGATATAGAGACAAAAGTTCTTTATTAATAGCAATTGGTCGATATTGAGACCACAGGTCTTTATAAAGACCAATTGGCCGTCATAGATACCACACGACATTCTAAAGACCAATAGGTCTGTATAGAAGTAATAGGACCATTTGGTTGGACACAGGTATTTATCGATACCAATAGATACCATAGATACCACACGACATTCTAAAGACCAATAGGTCTGTATAGAAGTAATAGGACCAATTGGTTGGACACAGGTCTTTGTCGATACCAATTGTTCTTTATAGAGACCCATTGCATTTTAACACTCACAATATATTATATTTTGTTTATTATGCCAATTCAATTTATGATTTTATTTTAACACTTTCAGGCCCACATGAGTACACACACCGGCACACCGCTCTATTCCTGTCCATGGTGTCCGAAAACCTTCAACTCAAATGGCAATATGCACAATCATCGAAAAAAGGCTCATCCCGCGGAATGGGAAGAGGCACGACGTAAAAAGTATTCCGGTAATTTACCGCCTAATTTTAAGCCGCCAACAACAACATCAACAGCAACGACTACGACGAACAATTCCTCCCATTACTTTCCAGTAACAGTAAATATGAATGGCAATTAGTTGCAATGATTTTATATTAAGAAAAAAAACAAATAAATACAATTATGTTAATTGGTATATACACATATAGAAATGCTTGTTGTTTTTGGGAAATACTAAAAGTAAGGAACCGAATTCCTTTGCGATTTGTTAAAAAATTGGCATATTTTTCATTTGTATAATAACACTGTGCTACAAAATAACAAAAATTTTTTTTTCAGGGGTTCTAATGTACCAATTCTGTTTATTTGGAGTCTCTGGACCACGAAAATACCTTTGGTTTTTCTGGGTCACTTCGAAAATTTATTTTATAACGGTAAATATAGAGAAAAACGTGGTTTCATGGATTTTCAATTTAAAACTCGAATAACTTATTTACTTTTTAACAGATTTATATTATTCTTTTTTTTCTTTCGTAGAGTAAAATTTTTCCTTTCAAACAAGATATATACTTGGTAAATCGGTTGAGGATTGGCTGAGTTACAGCGGTTGAAATGTGAAAAAATACGTATAAAATGACAAAATTTACTTTTCTTCGGGCTGTACGATGAAATTATGGCATCAAGCCATATAAGTTTTATTGTATTACGGGGAAGAAAATTAAATTAGCTTTCGAAGATGATAAAAATCAGAAAAATCGGTTAAAAAATGGATGACTTATACACATTTTTGTATTGATTCTATGCATATTCTCTAAAGGAAATATGGGTCTGTATCTTTTCCTGTTATAAACCGTTATGTTTGCAACAGGCAAAAGGAAACGAGATAGACCCATAGTTCCTTTAGAAATATGCATAGAATCAATACAAAAATGTGTATAAGTCATACATTTTTTAACCGATTTTTTTGATTTTTATCATTTTCGAAAGCTAATTTAATTTTCTTCCCCGTAATAGAATAAAACTTATATGGCTTGATATCATAATTTCATCGTACAGCCCGAAGAAAGGTAAATTTGGTCATTTTATACGTATTTTTTCACATTTCAACCGCTGTAACTCAGCCAATCCTCAACCGATTTACCAAGTATATATCTTGTTTGAAAGGAAAAATTGTACTCTTCGAAAGAAAAAGAAGAATAATATAAATCTGTTAAAAAGTAAATAAGTTATTCGAGTTTTAAATTGAAAATCCATGAAACCACGTTTTTCTCTATATTTACCGTTATAAAATAAATTTTCGAAGTGAATCAGAAAAACCAAAGGTATTTTCGTGGTCCAGGGACTCCAACTAAACATATTTGGTACATTAGAACCATTGAAAAATTTTCGTGTCGCACAGTGTAATCACCGTTTGAGTGCCCGAAGTCATTAAAAAGGATTCACCTTGAAAAAGTGACAAGCCGTTTTAAATTTCTATATAATTCTGTAAAGTGATGATAGAAATTTTTGGACTAATGAAATATTTTTTCTCCTACGATTCCTTACCAGTTCAGTAATGTACTTACCTCCAAAAAAAAAAAAAACGAAAAAAAATAAGTTTGAATACATTTTTGAATCACTTTTAATTTATTTGCATAATAAAATAATATTAAATAGCACTAACTATGTATACAAATTCTAAAAATTGATTAAGCGATACCATTAAGACACGTTTATAAAAGAGATTCCTGTAAGAGAAAGAAACTATTTAATTATGGCCCAAATATAAGATGTAAGGTTCGTTATTAATTTGTGTTCTTGGCTGTGTGTCCCGTCTTCATGAGTTTTTTGAGAACAGAAATAAAAAAACTAACTTTGGTGCATTAAGTTTAGACCTGGTGAAAGTCAACAACGTGTTGTGATTGCAATGCATGCTTGGTTCTACAAAAACATTAATCTGATTTATCCCTTTGAGGGTCTAAATTGAACAAATTTCAAAATTCCCTCAGAACTTTTTAATTTGTTTACTTTTGATATAATAATGTCGAAAAGCTGCAATCACAACAGATAGCTGAAGCCTACTCCGCTCAACTTACCCACCTGCTTGACGAAAACATTCCTGGTCCCGATAATAATATGGAAGCACAATGGCAAAGAATTGTCCACTCACTACAAACTGCAGCAAAAGTAGCACTTGAATACCAAAAACCACCATCAAGAAACCCATGGTACGATCAGGAGGGTCGTAGTGCTACTGATGTGAAAAACGAGCCTACTGATGGTTCACGCAGAAGGGGAAGGTAACGAAATAGATGGAAAGTCCAAGACAACATCTCGGAACATCGTCTTTACAATTGAAGAGATGCGCACAAGACCGACACGCTTGGAAATCTATTTTAAGCTTGGCTTATGGAACAAAAGTTCTGTAACAAGCCAGCTAAGTAAGTAAGTAGGGCAACCCTGCAGACTGTAGAAACACATGATGTGAGGGAGAATTATCGGGAGACAAGGAGAGTGTAGAAACGTATTTTCAGAAAAAAGAAGAAAGAACAATAAAAACGTAAGCGTGAGAAAATCGAGATGTACAGGAATCCGAATGAAGTCCGGAAATTTTACCAACGAATAAAACACCAAACCGATGGCTTTAGTGCAGGCAGACCCTCCTGTAGATAAGAAGATTGAAACCTGATGACAGATACAGACAGCGTGTTGAGGAAATAGAAGGAGCATTTTGAAAAGCTTGTGGTATCAAATAGTGGTGGTGAAGAAGATACCCCCAGAGCATATAAGAGATGACGGTATAGGGTGTATACCACCTAGCCCCTAATACCGAACGTAGATTCAGGCAAGGTGACAGTTTGTCGTGTGATATTTTTAACACCCTGCTGGAAAAGTTCATATGAAAGGCAAAAGTGAACAGAAATGACACTCTTTACACCAAACAACACATATTACTCGCCTACGCCGAAGACATCGGCATAATGGGTCGAACATTTCGAGCGGTAACAGCCATCTTTGAACAAACTGAGAAGGAGTCGGAGTTAAATTGTAAACAAAATACAGGTCGAATTTTTCATTCGATTTGGATGAAATTTGGGACAGCTAATTTATTTCGCCCAAGGATGAACCCCATTGAAATCGTCCGACTTAATGTAAATGGTATACCAAAGTCCCTATACATCTTTCGATTTGCACGAAATTTCGCACAGCGTATTGAATTAGAATGATGTGTGTAAAGTGAAAATCGGTTCAGATTTAGATATAACTCCCATACATATTTTCGTCCTATTTAATGTAAATGATGCACCAAAGTCATTATATATCCTTCGATTTGCACGAAATTTCGCACAGCGTAAAAATAGGTTCAGATTTAGATATAGCTCCCATATATATTTTCGTCCGATTTAATGTAAATGATGCACCAAAGTCCCTATATATCTATCGATTTGCACAATATTTCGCACAGAGTATTGCATTAGGTGTGTTAAGTTTCATGAATATCGGTTCAGATTTAGATATAACGCTCATACATATTTTCGCACGATTTTATGTAAATGGTGTACCAATGTCCCTATATATACTTCGATTTGCATGAAATTTTGAATAGTGCATTGAATTAAGTCTAGAATGATGTGTGTTAAGTTTCGTGAAAATCGGTTCAGATTTAGATATAGCTCCCATATATATTTTTGTCCGATTTAATGTAAATGGTGGACCAAAATCCCTATATATATATTTAATTGGACGAAATTTGGCATAGCGTACTACATTAAGTCTATAATGATGTGTGTTAGTTTTCGTTAAAATCGGTTCGGATTTGGATATAGCTCCTATATATTTTTCTCCGATTTTAAGTAAGTGATGGCCGATATGCACAAAACGTACTGAAATTAGTATAACGTAACCTGTGACAAGTTTCGTTGCAATCGGTTCAGATTTAGATATAGCTCCTATATATTTTTTCTTCCGATTTTATTTAAATGGTGCCCCGAAACTCCTTATTTTGTCAGATTGACGAGAAATTTTGTAAAACGTACCAAATTGAGTATAAAACCAGTAAGCGGAGCAGTATAGTCGGACGGGACCGACCATATAATATCCTACACAACTGCCACAAAAATCTAACTTTGCGTTTTTTGCACCCTCTTGAAACCCGACTAAAGGTCAAGAAATATTACAAATATTCAGTAGACGAGGGCTGTACTTGTCCAGATTCTCTTTACCGTGAGTTTTGTTATGATGATGGGCTTTCAATTGTGGCCTATAGATGGACTCAGAAAATAAAATAAATAAATAACACAAAATGTTAAGTTTTCGGTTCACTTCATCCCAAAATTATTATCTGATCATCACCGAAAATTATAGGCGTTGTCCTTGACCATATCTGGAATCACATGGATATTTTCAAAGCTATCAGCGCTATATTTCCGCCTTCTAGTGTGGTTTTGGGTTACTTAATAATGTCTGAATACGTAAGCAACTGTAAATATTTATGTGTAATTTCCACATCTGTGTACATACGACCATATAATTGGTATCAATTTCAAGGTTAACCACTCCTCTTGAACATACTATCAACTTCTTTGGGTCTAGGTCCTTCAGGGGCAAACATATACGCCATAGAATACAAATTTTGTTATTTTTCACACAAAATATTGACCGATCTTTATCAGGCATGCTTATTCTTTGGCTGGATCCCCTTCTCCATGCAAAAATTCGCGGTGTTTGGGCCATAATTGCGGCCTCTGGAGCGACCAGAAAATCTGACAAAAATAAAGTTTTTGGTCCATTTCATCCCCTAAATATTAACCGATCTTTTCCACAAACAATAGGGGCCTTCATTGGCCAGAACTCAACCTACGTGCAAAATTTCGTGAAGATTGGTTCATAACTGTGGCCTGTATCGTGTTTACAAATTATAATGGACAGACGGACGGACACACATGTCTAGATCGATTCAGCTAGTCGTGATATGACGATCGGTATACCTAAAGGTGGGTCTAGGACCAATATTTCGCGGCGTTACAAATTTCAAATTTCGACCGATTTCAGGTTTATTGGGTTTCAAATAATCAACGAGTGTCCGATTGAGATTTGCTTTAAATCGATTTACAAAACTTTGTCTCATTCTCTATCTATTCAAATGAATGAAGAGTTTAGTATAGGTTACAGAATGACATGTTTATGGATTGATCT